GATAGAAATAATCGATGTAACAAAAATAAGAATAGCTAAGACAAGTAATCCAATCCAAGGATCATCAATACGTTTATATACTGATGCACGAAATGAAGTTGAATCTATGTTATTCATTCTTGTGCTTAAAAAAAATAACAAAAGAAAAAAAAACAAAAATTCCGAATTTCAGTTCTATATAAATATATTGAAATCAATACCGATATAAATCACACTACTTACTTTTATTATAAAAAAATCTTTTCAAGGGTTTTCCTTTAAAGGTGTCAAATGAATATATGAATCAAAAAAAAACTCTTTATATTTTAGACATTTTCTTTTTTTTATTCTTCATGTACATAATTCAATCACCAACAGTGAATGACATACAAAGTCGGTTAATCCCTATCTAGTCTGTGTATATATATAAACTTGTGTGGGTATAGCCAAGGAGCAAGAGCAAGGTAAATAGATTTGTAATGAAACAGACTGATTTATTCATTTTTCTTTTCACGTCTTTTCTGTTAAAATATTTATTAATCAATAGAAATAAAAAACTACAATATTTCAAAACAAACAGAAAGAAATTGAAATTTTTGTTTCAATTCTTCTTAAGTCTATTAGCTAATTGATTATAAATAAATGCTGATGATGTTGCTGATGATTGCACTTGTGCATAATTTAAATTTGTCATTTTTTTCGCTTTAGACTTAATTTCTTCCGATGCATTCATATCAACAGCAAATTGTTCTGATGACATCTTATGTCTTGCATCACGTGTTTCTGAACGTTGTAAATAAAAATGTGATATCATATGTATAACATTGCCTTTACCACAATCAAATGTAATAAGTACAGCATATGAATTATATTTTTTATTTAATTCATTTGATTTAATTAAAACACGTACACGTTGTTGATCAACAATTTCTATTGGATATGATGATGATTCAAGCCACCATTGTGGATCAACATGTTTTGCAGCTGGTAAAAATCCAGCTACAATTGGATTTGTTGGATCATTGACTTGTATTCCCACAACTTCATCACCAGTCATTTGACCATTATGTCGAACAAACTATAATGTAGGAAATAACCAAAAATATATACTATATATATGTAAATAATTAACTTACTTCACCAAATGCAACTTCAAGAACATTTTTTAAAGCCCAGTCTGTCGTAATTAATTGACCACCATCATCAACAAATTTACGTAAACGATGAGCAACATCAGCTGGAAATGAACTAGCACAATTAACATAAACTGTTTGGTCTTCTGGACGCAATGGATAAGTTAATAATTCATGTTGATGTACAGTTTTAAATGGAATTTTTAAGCTTGTTAATACTTGATGTATATGATCATACGTACCAGGTACAACAATTACTGTATCATGTTCCATTTCATCGAGAAGTTTTTTATCTTCAGATGATAATTGTTCACGAGCCATGGCCGAACCAAGTTCATATGCATCAGTCATATCATTATTAGAAGCAACGTTTTGTTGAGCTGTATATAAGTTTGCCATATTTGGTTAATATATTATGAATTGTAATATGAATAGTTTTGACTGTAACTTTAAATGCTATCGACATGCATATATATAGCTTCATAAAAACAAATGATTCATCTTGTGTGTCATATTTTGTATACAGCATGTTTCGTCAATTACACATTAAAGATATTTGAGTTCCTTTTTTTCTTTTTTTTACGTGGCATTAAGTGAAAAATAATATTCATTCCAAATAGGTTTTGCATTTGATTGTGAAATTACTAAATGGGAAAGACCAATGACAAATAACATATCCTTCATATGAAACATGGCAAGCAAAGATGCAATAACATAAGGTTGTCACGTCATTTTTTTTATTCTCTTATCTGAAAAGAAAAAAGTAGAATTTAACAATTTTTTTAACGCATATTTTTAATCTATATTCAATGAACAGTATGTCAACTTTATATTGATTACATGATTTCTTTAATCAAAATACATGTGATCCAATAGTGACTAAGATCAAAAATAAAAAACTATGAGTTGTTAGCTATAAAATAGAATAGAAATTGGTGTTTAAAAGATCATCATAATCTTTAAACGATATGGAACCAAAATCGACTAAGTGAAATTTTTAGAAAGAGTCTTTGTTTGAAATAAATCTAAATGAACATTTGGATATTACAATAAGTATAAGGAACATAAGACAATAATCGATTGCAATGTTTGTTGACATCTATTATGATTGATGACAGATATTCAAGTTTTAGAGGAATAATGACAAATAGTCGTCCATTAAGCTGTTTGCAATAAAATGTAATGAACCATTGCAGCAAATATTAAATTTTCTGTATTAAATTAAATAATTAGAAATATTTATTCGTGTTCTTTTTGCTAACGTCGATCATAAATAAAATATTGAATGTCATTATATTACAAAAAATGAAATTCGTATTCAAATCACTCACTAATATACCTTCATAAAACCATTATTAATCATTATCATCTGTCATTAATAAACTTTGTATTAATACTATTTATTGAACTTTGACTAGGTTTAGTCTGTAATTAACTTGTTCTATTATTTTGTCGCTTTTTTGGAGGTAGCACATCATTTTCCTAATTAACCATGTTCGTTTCGTGAAATACCTGTGTTTAATATGTCCGACAATAGATAGCTTCTATTATAATTTTTTCAAAAAGTTCATTGATATTAGTGAAGCAAAATAAAGCACACTTGAGTAGGAAATCCCATCAAATTAGTATTTAGTAAATTGGAATTCTTAGGTATTTCTTACTAATAAAATTTACGAATTAGTTAGTGATGTTTCGACAAACGAAACTGTCTTTGTTAGATGTATAAGAAAATCATCCGAACTGACACCCGCCGTTTGAGCTCATATTGTATCTACAAGGATGTCTCGGTAAGACTAGCAAAAAAAAAAAGAAGTGTTTGTTTTCTTGGATCTTTGAAAGTAAGCTAATGTCGTTTTACTGAACTTTCGATCCAGCCGTAGATACACGCTGAAAGATCGAAAAACAGAATTTCTATGTAAACTGTAGACCATAGATAAGTAAAATGATTCATAGAATATCTTGTCAGTTTCAATCGAAAGGAATGTTTTTTTCTTGAAATTTAAATATTCAAAAAAGTATGTCATAATCGTTGATTAATGGGTTTTTATTTTCTTTTACTGTGTTGTAAAAAAATTCAATTCGAAATTTATCAAGAATGATTATGCATCATATATCATCGATTGTAGTAATTAGACTACCAATTTGATTTTCAATTTCAATAATGCGTAAAACCCGTTATTCTACTCTAAAAGCATAATTATATAATACACATGTGATGAAAGCCACATATCTTTTTTAAAAAATCGCTCACATCAACCTTCTGTTCGTCTAAATAAATACTTAAAAACAACGCACATTTTTTTCAGAAACATCCGCCAACCTTTCAATTTCCTATTTTTCAGCAATAAAAAAAAGCATTGTCGAAGTATATATATTCTATTGAATAAAATAAATTTAGTCAATTTATTATTATTTATGCATAGAGTAACGATCTAAACACATACCTTTTATCAAACAAACTTTAACATTCATCTCTCAGGTATTGTTTGCTGTTAATTGCAGACGTATCGTATCTCATAAAAGAATTATATCGGATAATCAAGAAAAAATTCTATAAAAATATACAACATGCATTGAAAACTTTATATTTTATTCAACAATCAACCTATTGCAATATGGAATCAAGCTAGCCCAGTGCATTGTGAGACTTCCGGTTTATATCTCTATTGAAACAAGTATAAAAATACAAGATTATTTCCTTAATCGTCTAAATGATTTTTTTTTTGAATTTATTTAGTTTTCAAAAAACAAAAGAAGGTGAATAAAGGAATAAACTACATACACAAGAGGGTACAGATCCATATATATATTCAAATTTGTCTTTTTAAAATAAACTGGATAAAATTAATAATGTTTTCTATTTCTATATATCCTTCTCATTTATATTCAACTCCAACAGTTGATGAATTTTTCGACGGCATTGATCCCACATTAGCCAATAACACTTTTAGTTCCCCAATAGCTTTTCCAGGATTTAAACCCTGTTAAAAAAAAGAAACTTTATTTAAATTATCAACTTGTTTATTATACCTTTGGACAAGCTTCAGTGCAATTCATAATTGTATGGCAACGATAAAGTGTGAATGCATCACGAAAGTGTTCCAAACGTTCTTTTGCGTATTCATCACGTGAATCAACAATCCATCTAAGAAGCAATTACAATTCAATTTCGTTCAAAATGAAAAGAAAAAACAGTGACATACTTATAAGCTTGCATAAGAACAGCAGGTCCAAGATATTTATCAGCATTCCACCAATAACTTGGACATGATGTTGAACAACAAGCGCAAAGAATACATTCATACATACCATCCTAAAATATTTTTTTAAATAAATTTTCCGAATAAATTTTTTGTCAAAAAAAAAACTACCAATTTTTTACGATCTTCAACACTTTGATAAAGTTGTTTATCACCAACTGATATTGGTGTTTTGCGTTTTAAATAAGGTTCAATCATTTTATATTGCATATAAAAATTTGTAAAATCCTATAAAAATTAATATATCAGCAAAAAGAATTATAAATTCTTTGATATTGATATACCGGAACAAGATCCTTGATAACATACATATGCGGAAGTGGATGAATTTTTAATGGTTTACTTGATTCTTCGATTTTACTAGAAAAATTAAATAAGGAAATTTGATAGAAATAAATAAATCATTGAAAAATTCTTCGTACCAAATGCAAGCAAGTGTATTTCGTCCATCAATATTCATTGAGCAACTTCCACAAATACCTTCACGACATGAACGACGAAAAGCTAATGTAGGATCTTGTTCATTTTTTATTTTAATAAGAGCATCAAGAACCATTGGACCACAACTTAGAAAAAAAAAATTTTCATCTTCTTTTTTCTTTGTCAATAAAAACATACTCGTTTAAATCTATTTTATAATCTTGTAAATAAGGTTTTTTATTTGGTTCTTCAGGATTCTGAAAAAATAGCATATAAATAAATAAAACTATTCAATTATAATGAAATAGAATTATATACCCAACGATAAATTGAAACAGTTTTCATACGTGATGCTGCTTCACGTTTTGGTTCCGGTGTAGTGGTTTTAGATGCTGCTGCCGCTGCTGTCGCATTACGAACCTGAATTATCAAAATTAAATTAATAGCAACATTTTAACAGAATAATTTGAATGTACACACTTGTGCAAAAATTAATCGACCTACACCACTAACTGGTGTTGTCGAATTTGCAATTACGCGAAACATCTAAATAAACAAAAATTTTGAAGAGATAGTATTGGACTTCGACAATGGAGAAATAAAAGTACACAACGTTTTGAATAATAGGTACATATTTCAGACTACAAGATAAACACCATTGATGTAATCCTTTAAAAGATGTCGCTCAATAACACGAGAATAGAGTTATTGGTATGTAATATGTAAGAGAAATATAATGACACAGAAAAAAAAAACAAGAATGATTAGTTTGTTCGAACGGGAAACTTTCGACTAACCGTCGCTATTATTGTAGTTATATATAAAGAATAACCAGTTCTGGCTCGATCACTTTTCAGCAAATGATCTGTGAGAAAAAGGCGCTTGTTTTTCACAATAGATTATTTGAAATCTGAGTGGTAGAGAGGTTCTAGCTTCGTATCATATCAAGCCTAAATTTGCTCCTATTGATAGTATACAATTGCACTCGTATAATTCATTGATATTTTTCTATATCAATCTCCCAATTTCTGTGTAGTTTTCATACTGCTAGTAGACAATGACTTGTTAATACTATGTAGTCCGGTCCTACAAGTGAATCAAATTGCCATTATTCATGATTACACATGAGCGACAACAATCGTTTGTCGTCCCAGTCTCGGCGGAACAAATATCGGAATAATCTTTTGCACATCAATTTAGAAGACATGAGTTATGACAATATGACATTCGATGTAAGCTTTACTCTATCATAGACAGTATCGTGCCGAATGAAAAAGTGTTTATCCTGGTTCCAGGATTGGAATCATCTCGTCTATATGTATTAATGACTAACGAAGATGCTCTCGAGATAGTTAATATTCGAAATTCAATTTCATGTAAAAGCAAATTTGGTTCATATATTTACATCTCCAGAAGGGCAATACTACATAATTGCGCAATCCACTAATCTCATGGAGAACTTAATTCATACTAAGTTTAAAGTCGAAACTGGAAAGTCTATTTTTCATGTCACTTTAGGTGTGGCTATAGCTTCTTGTTTAGAACCTCAGTGAAATTCTAATATTTCTGAAACGACGGCTCGTAAAATCAAACCATTCTAGACTTTTCTATTTATACTATCCAAATGAACATCGTCTTGGTTTCAAAATGATTTGAAATATGAAGAATTTTTCTCCTAAGTAGAAAATCATTTCGCATTGACACAATACTCTCCATATGATACGACAACAAGATTTTTTAAATACTTGATTACGTCCTTTATTTACATATTCTCTTACAATATTCTATTCATTAACAATATTGCTAATGAGAATTGATTGATACTTTTTATTGATGATTTATTTTTGCTAAAATAAAATAATATTAGAACATAAATGCTATTTGAATTATGATTTATTTTTTTATACAAAAATAAAAAAATAATGATTAAGTTTTGGTCACTTGTGAAAGAATTGGTAGAAAATATTTTGGTGCAAGTTTAAGAGTAAGTAAATATGGTTCACTATCTTCATATTCAATATCTTCTGTAAAAATTTGACGACGAAATGGATCGAGAAAAAGTTTTCTCACTGGATAATTAACACATCGTCCCATACTAAGTTCACCTGGTTCAAATCGATGTTCGTATGGAAGATAAATTGCTACAAAAAGAAAATCTATTTTTCACATAAAAATAATTTTCTAAGTTTTATTACGATTTCGTTTAATTGGTCGATGAAAATCAGTATGTGATTCACCCAATCGTACAAGTGCTGTTGGTCTATAAACGAAAAACAACATCACAAGTTTCTTATAAAATATGAAAAAATTATAAAATTTAAGTTTACTTATTAATTTTTGGTAAAACAAGAATTGTATTATTATCAGGTTTTTCTCTTGGTTGTTTACGTTCATTTATTTGATCTTGAGTTATTTCAACAAAATAATTAATTACTTCAATTGATGATATATTGCTTGTAATTACACGTGGTAATGCATCCAATGTTACTGTTAAATTTTTACCATTAACTGATGATCTTGTCTAAAAGAAAAATATAATTAAATTAATTAATTGGATTTAATAAAAAAAAAACACATACTGATAATGATGTATCACCAGTTAAGGCTCTTGATGTTGCATTACTTATTTGTATATGTATATCACCATTCTTCAAACGAACATGCATTTCTTCAATATGTGTACGAAATGCTCGTGTCCATCTATTAAAATAAAAAGAAAAAAACATTAATAAAATATTATTTTTGATGTAAAGTATTGCACCTTAGATTCAAGAATTAGAGAAATGTACTGATGTTTAGATACATTGCTGGACTATTAAAAAATAGTTACTCCTCGTTGAATATTTAATCGAGACTAAATTATTGCAAAAATTGCTTATGTTGAATAAAGTTCTTCAATCTTAACTAACGAGGAAATCTCTTCAGTTGCTCCCATCTGGTTTCAATGATTTCTTTTTTTCTTATAAATACTATATTGTATTCTAATAAAAGTCCTAAAAGGGTTTGAGTTCCTTATTGATATTTGAATAAGCTATCGAGTTTTAATCATATGTGTTCTCTAGAGATTCCAGATGTTCAGAAAACTTGTATTTTTATTTTTTGATGTGAAACTTTATGAGAATTTCAAGATATAGACTGTTCTCTATCGATAGTGTATTTAATATGCATTGTTCAAAGATTTATATCTTGAAGATACTTTGTTGAAAACTTCTGATTTTTTTTATGGAAGCTAACCTAGTTGAATTTTTCATATGCACAAAGTTTCAGATCAAAATTTGATAGCTTAATTAAATATCTATATGAGCCAAAACCTTCTTAGAGTTCTTATTAAAACACTATGCCGTATCTACAGACAAAAAGATCATTGAAGTCGAAGGGAAGCTACTGAAAAGGTTTCCTCGTAAGTTCACATGAAGGTTAAGATGATTAATTAGTTCTTTCCCACAGAATAGAAGCCCATCCTATTCAAACGAGAGCAAAATAGCAATTTAAATTATCGAATACATTAGTTCGTCGCTTTTTGCTGTTTAACTATAACTTTCTTGATGCATCTTATTTTGTTTGTGCTACTAGTATTAGTAAGAGAAGAGTATAATATCCATCATTGAAACACTCATAAGATTTGACACTACCTATGGCATAAAAATGAGAAGGTCTCGTTTGATAGTCAACAGTTTAATTTATACTTTTTTCAAGATAATTGAAACATATTTTCTTGGGTTTCTGAACTGTGCATAAGCTTTTAAAATGATGTTGTCTGGAAGTTTTCTCTATTCCTCTAAAGTTCAATAGTTTCTCAAATCAAAGTATCGTAATAAGTATGGTTCAACATATCTTTAGTAAGATTTCCAATGTTCTGATGACAGATGAACGTGTAAATGAGAAAAGTAGTGTAATGAATGCACTACTCAAGTTATTCGATTACATGGGATTGGCAAAGTATCCAAGTTAATTTTCGACTCATCACTAACTGTTATACGTCTTATTAAAGTTCATAGTTGGTTTGGAAATTCTAGTTTATTGAATCTTCTACACTTTTGTGCTTGTAAGAGAGTCAAATTAAAGCTGCAATACAATAACAATCTACCGCCATACTTTTAACTAAAGAAACAAATTAGAAGCCCAGAGGTCTACTATTTTGTGAAGTGTTTACTCAACATTTAAGCTATAAAATTTAATTCATTAGCTGAACTTTTCTATTCTATTAATTATAACAACCTTTGAAATTAATGTAATAAAACTTCAGAAAACTTACTATCTCATAAAAAGAGTATCTTTGTTTTAGAAACTTCCGTTAATTTTTAGATTAAAGGTATCATAGAAATTTCTTTCGAGAAGAAGAAGATGATAAGAGAGGGTAAATGACCTCGGAATTAAGACCATTCCCTTCTTTATCTACTTCATTTGCTTTTGACATTCCTAACTAGTTTGAATACATACTGTCGAAGCCATTCAAAAGCAAGTGTTTTTATTCCTGCACGTCTTGGTTGATTTGGATCAAGTTCCCATAATTTCCATGAATCCATTTCATTGTAAAAATGTCCAAATGGATCATCTAAACCACATTGTTGAAACAAAGTTTTAACCAATGCTCTAATAAAATAAAATTTTAATCAAAAAAAAAGAGGAATATTTTTTTTTAACAATAATTTTCTACCGAATCTGATCACCACCCTCTAAATACCAATAAATAAATTCAGCAACAACATCCATAGTCATTTTATTCAAATGAGCTAATAAACGAAGATGAGTCGAAATAAATTCAATATCATGTATTTCATAATTAGGTGGATTAAATTTAGTTAAATGAAATAGAATTCTGTCAATTAATGTATCACGTGTTTGATCATTTATTGAATTTGTACGATAGAAATTTTCAATTTCATGCAAAACTATAATTCGATTTTCAATGTTGGAAATAAAATCTAGACGTTGTAATACATCAGATGGAAATATATTTTCATCACAATTTTCAAGAAAAATCTATAAGAAATTCATAATTTTATTAAAATTTTCATTAGAATTGACAAAAAAGAAAAATGAGACATACATCAACTTTGACTAATGGATATTGTTCTTCAAACCAATTTAACTCTTTAAGTTTATCAATAAAACGTACAAATGATGATGAAAATTGACGTGGAGTTTTAACACGTGCTTCAACTGTTTGTGTTGATTCAGTAACAACTGGTACTAATGGTTTGATAGGTATTCGAGCTGGTTTTGATGGTGCAGTAGGTTTTACAACTGTTGGTGGACGTCGTAATGGAGTTTGTCGAGATAATCGATTAGCTGTGTGTGATGAGCTTGGAGGTGCTCCAGGTTCCTTTGAATAAACAGTTAAAATAATAATAAAATAAAAGTTAAAAAATTGAGCATTCACTGGTTGTTTGGTTTCATCTGCAGCAGGTTCTGCTGGTGGTGGTAGTTCAACAGCTTGTTGTGCAAGGTCAGTTAATTGTTTCATAAAATCACTTTGAGTTTTCTTTTTCTGTTTTTCTAAACGATCATCCATATCTTCTTCACCAGTAGCCAGTTTCTTTTTCATCGTTGCTTCTATTAATTCTTTCCATTCAGCTTCTTCATCCTAATGAAAAGTTTTATTTTCAATTGTAATGAAAATGAAATAGTGTTCTCTTTTTTTTTGTTTTTTTAAATCAAATGAGTAGGTTATTATTTGTGCAAATGAATTGGGAAATAAAAGAATGTGTATTATTTATGTGTACATAGGGATAAAATATCCTTACAATTGATTGAGAAATTTGAATCTCTTTAGCTTTTTCTGCTAAATTCTGTATAGATATATAAAGAAAAGTAATTCTTTAGTATTACTATTAATATTATCATTTTACTTACAACTGGTGCATTTTTTTCTAACGCTTGTAATTGTTCTTCAGATAAAACAGGTGGTATCCATTCTTCTCGTTCTTGTTTCTTCGGTTGTCGATTAGGCCAAAGTAATTTAGCCTAAATGAATAAAGGAAAAACAATAATAAATGTTAAATATGTTTTATTCTTTCTCTTACTAATACAGAATTAGGAACAATCGCACCAGATCCATAATGAGGACGATCACTAGGCAAGGTTATTTTTTCAACATTACTATTAAGTAATTTTTTAAGTTCATATTTATCTTGTTGTTGTTTGATAATACGAATATCATCATTAGGAAATGGTGGTTGACTACGATAGTGTTCTTGAAGCTCAAATAATTTTTGTTGACGTTCTTCATACAATTTTGATAAAGGATCTTGATCTGCTTCTTTTACTGACGGAAAAAATCCATCATCATCTGTTTGAATCACATACGGATCCGATTCTAAATCGAACATAAAAATCATCATAAAATTCTAATTAAAACTCTTATTCTACTTATTATTGGTGGACCAAATAATTCTTGATCTGTTAATTTATACATATCATCATCCAATAACTGAAACATCTAGTTAATTAAATAGAAATCTTATCTAGCAAAATAAAAACTTACGCCTTTTTTAGGTTCTTTTAAATAAATTTTCATATATTCATTAAATGCTTCTTTTCGAACTTTTGATGATATTTTATATTTTTTAGTTCGATGAATTTTTCCTTCGGCAATTTGTGCAATTTCTAAATCACGTTTTTCTAACTTTTCTAATTCCTTTAATAAACAAGAATAGTTTAATGTTTATTTCTCTAAATTCTTTTTTATTATTTTACTTGAGTTTTTAATTTCATTTGTTCAACTGATTTTTCATGAAAAGCTGACACATCAATATTTTCAGGAATAATGTTCAATGGTCTATTTTAAAAATAATTTAAAAATTCAAAATAAAACTAAAAGTGATGTTTTCTTTTTCTACGAACAGTTTTTCAGCCTTATGAGCTCGTTTTAACCGGATAAGATCCGCTGATGACATACGAGTTAATTGTGTATTATCAGTTTCTTCACTTTCTTTTATTTCTGGTATTGCTGGTTTAAATTCCATGGATATTGTTTTAAATATAATAGCTTTTGGTAAATCTTTAATTTAAAAAAACTAGACGTAAATATATGTATATACGTAAATAACATATGTTGCACAAGTAATTCAATAAATATCAACTCCAATTCCTTTTTGACAGATGTATACCGAAAGAAGACTTTGTATTTATTAGAAAATAAAGCATTCTTATTCTCTTTCGAATCATATATTTTTTATTTTTTATCACACCGTTTTAAACGAAATGATACAATAAAAAAGAGAAACACTATCAAAATTATGTCAAATTTTTCGTATAATGGAAAATAAAAGTAAAAAGCTATCCAAATCTATATTTCTTTAGTAAAAACATGTTAGAAAGAGAATCTTTTTATCAGATAATAGGAAATTTGCTCCTCTCTTAAACCCTACTTAACTTAATCATAATATAGATTGACAAACAAACTGGAATGAGAAGAAAAGAAAATACTTTCATATCGAGTTTGCAATAATTTATTTAATGATCTATCAATTAAATCTGTAAAACAATAGTTAATTATTTTATAAGGCAAGGTATTTCAAGAGCAACAATTTATTGAATAGATATTTGAAAAATCGACAAAAGAAAATTTTTACCAAGGAATAATTGTCCAGTAAAACTTTCTTATTAGAAATAAAAACCATTTGATGAAATCTGTTAATGTTCGTTCTAATTTCATTCAGCGTAAATTCGTTAAGATCTCAACGTTAAAGAATCAACAATCAGTTGTAACTTACGAGAAAGAACATCAGTTGTTATCACAAAAATGTTCTAAAGCTTGATAACAAAGTTCAAACAAAGCAAAAATTAAAAAGACCTACGAGAACTTATACAAAATGATTCCTCTCGAGTGTAGAATTCTCTTACATTAGACGATTAAATATACTTCACATGACGTATGACTGCTGGAACCAGGACTGAAAACCACTTGCCATAGTTATGCATACTATTGCATTATAAGTGTGCGATAAAAACAAGATTTATACGATTCGAAAGAGAAATAGAAACCAAGATTTGTTCAATTACTTTTGCATCTGATGTTATGTTTATATTTTTTATTAACTTACATGACGAATGTAACATTTTATATAGATGATCACCTATACCAAGAATTAAATCTCCCGAATCATTTGAAAAATGTAACGAATGAATATTATCATGAATAACAATCATTCTTCAAAAAGAAAATAATTTATTAGAATAAATAAATTTTTTGTTTTTCTATTATTAAAACCTGATTAATTGATTTCTACTATTCCATATTCTTAATGTACCATCAAGACTACCAGTAGCAATTAATTTTAATTTCGAACAACCAGATATCGCTGATATTTTATCACAATGATCATTCTCTGGTAAATGATCAAATCGTTCTTAAAATTTCAAAACACAAAAATTCATTATAAAACTGTTTTATAAATAACTTTACCATTATTTTCTAAATTATACACCATTAATGAATGTGTCAATGTTGATTCTTCTCGAAAGGCAACAGCAAGTGAATTTTTTACTATAGTTAAATGAACTGGTGCTAAACCACAAAATATTGAGCGAACAACGGAAAGCGATTCAACAGCATAAGGAAACACACGCCAAATTCGAATAATTAAATCTGAACAACAAAATTCAATGCAATGTAGCAATACATTAAAATAAGGCAAGATAACTATTACCAGCACCACATGATATAATCTGATCAGCACTTGAATGAGCAATAATATCAACAACTGGACGAGCAGAATGCATCTAAATACAAAGGAAAGTTTCAATGACACATTACTATCATTAATGTAGATGTACAAGGTCTGTTCTATTCCTGATTACAGTAACCAGGACCATGGAAAAGAGAAAATGCCACAATCAGGACCTAGACTACGAGAATAAAGTTGCCAAGATCTGAACATAACTCAAGAGAAACGACCTAAAAAGTGCTACTCATCGACTAAATAAATAAAAGAGATTGAGCAATTTTTTTTAGATGTGATACGAAAATATTTTGGAAAAGTTTTCTCTAGATTGAGACCAGAATCGGGTTAGTTTGACCAAGAGCACAATCGAAACTACTAGAAAAGAAGTTATAAAGATCAGACCGGGACTAAAGTTCATCGGGTTGGTCCAAGATCCGAGACCGAAAAGTTTAGAACCTACAGGCTCTAACCGTAATTAAAAAGTAGCGAACCCACACACCTCTAGTCATGAATGAGATTAACTTGATGTTTTTCTTTTCTTTCTTTAGCAAACAACTTCTTACAATTGCATCAAAAACAAATAGTTTAAGTCTTTCTCATAAATAAAATATTGATCATAAAGATTTATTCGCATGCTTACATCCAAAGAAAAGTCAATTTCTCCTGTATGCCATTTTAAAACAGCAACACAACCATTAGTTACTCCAGCAATTAATAAAGTTCGACTAAAACCTTTTAATGCAATATGTATTAATTCACTACTTGGTTTTGTGACTAATGCTTTAAGCATTGGTGTTTCTTCCATATTACTCTTTGCAACATATTCATAGATTAATAAACAACTAATTGAAACTAAATATACGAAAACATAATCTTCAATCGGAAAACTAAACTTTCTTTTTACATTCTGTTGTATCAAATTGTTGAACAACTTTACAAGGATTTGATGATGTATCTGCTTTAATAAGTGTATTACCATTACTAGCAAAAAGTATGTCTAAAATCAAACGTTTTCAATTGAAATTCAAGAAGAAAAAACAACAACAACAACCATACTTTCACCAATTGCATAAGCACATGATGTAGGTTTAAAATTTAAATCACAAACAAGACTTGTTAATATATTACCAGTAGCAGAAGCAACTATTCGTACAGTTGAATCTTTACATAGAAGAGTCGATCGTGTTGGATAATCAGGATGTGTTGTACATGTTATTTTTACAATAGGTGATCTAAAGAAAATATTTTCAAATTTTTCTTTTTCTCTGGTAATTTTTTACAAACCCAATAAAACTTAAAAAATCACAATAATGTTTAATACACCATAACTGTAAACATTTAGTTGATATAACAATAAACTTTTCATAATTTCGCGTTACGTTCATGTGAGATATTGGTTCAGACACTTTAATACTAAATCAAAGAATAAGTAAATCTATAAATAAGAAAATATATTTACTTACACATCAACAACATCACCATATTCGAGACTCCATACACGAATAGTTCGATCTTGACTACTCGAAATAACATAAGGTCCAAATGGATGCTTACTTAAACATAATACTCGATCTTGATGACCCACATAGGCATATAAAATAAACCAACGATTATCCCAAACTTTAACTAATAAATAAAATAAAACATAGATTTTATAAATCAATTAAAATTTGTTTTTCTTTTGTTAACAAACTTGATCCATCACGACCAGCTGTAACCAGAACATCACGTAGTTCAATAAAAAGCATTGCTACAATCGGTCGAACATGTAAATCTTGTTTGGTTGAAAAAACTTTTCCTTCATCAGCTACATTGAAAGCCTATTATAAAAAAATCAAAAAGAAAATTTTTAATAAACATATATCAAATAAATACCAAAACATCATAACCCGATGTAACAAATAATCGTTGAACAGAACTATTTGACTGTTGAGCAGCCATTATATTAAACTCTATATCATCTGTATAACCTTCTCGACATTCAAATTTAGGTAATAGATGTTTTCGATTATAACGAAATTGCCAAACCTTAATCATTTCAAATATTCTTCATTCAATAAAACAAAGAAATAAAACATACAGTAACACCTCTTCCACAAGTAAATACATCTGATGTCATTTCATTATAATTTAAATCACCAATATTATAATCACAAGTTGATGTTGATAAAATTTCAAGATCAGAACTAAGTACATGAATCTCTCTTGACCAACGTGACCAAGCAATAAACTCATCTTCATTTATACAATAAAATAATTGATCAAATTCTATATCAAGTTTCAATTTTTTATATGCTCGACCATCAGAATGATATATACGAGCGATTTTTTTATGATCAATACTGACGATTTCCTTTTCAAGGAAAATTAACAAAAATAGTTACATACGAACTAAATTGATCATACTCACCTTTTGTTTAATATTAAATGAAATACATTTAACTTGAATATCATGATTGATATTTCGTACAAAATGAAGACCATGTGATCGTTCAATATCTATACATTTATAATTTACAAAACTTCACTGAATATATTTAGTCAAATTTCAATGATAGTGAGAGACAACTATCATAAGAATAGTAAATGAAATCAATAATTTATTAACTAAAATTAATGAAAGAAATCCCTCAACTAATAAATTGTTTTTCGGACAGAATCCGGCATGCACCATATTCAGTAACTGGTAGCAGGTTCAACAGTATTTGATTCTCTTCCCAGTCTGTTTAATTAGATCAGCTTAATTCTATACAAACAACAGTGCGGGCATAAACTGCAGCTAGTTATCATTCAGAACATAATCTTCTCTTCATCAATTATATTTTTCATGCTCTTATTCACAATCATATTCATTGTATTACAATGTTTTGATTGTTAATGTTCGCTGCAGTTAAACGTTTGCCTATTAGATATCTTTCATTGTTTCCACTCGTTATGATGAAGAGTAGAGTATGTTCTGAATGATAACTGCGTATTAACGATTTAGGTGTGCACCAGTATTCTTATAACATTCAGCTGAGATAATTGAACTGCCTTGAAAAAAAGATAAATTACTGCTGAACCAGCTAAACAAATGACAGTTAACTGTGTAACTAGTATGAAACTGAAACTGTTACATACTTAGTCGAAGCTATCTGCATCATATAGATATTAATGAGCTATGAATATCATGAAACCAGTCGCGGCACTTTGCTTATTGCTGCACTCGTACAATATTTTTAAGTCCGTAGTATGGTTCTCGTCAGAAACACTAGAAAACTCTTTTTCGACTTGAAAGTTTGTTTAGAAACACGCAAATTAAAGTGAACAGTGCATTGTGAAAATTTCAAGTATTTTTATTTATTTCTTTCTTAAAATAAGAACATCGTATTGTTTGTGTGCATGAACAATGTAAAAGACAAGTTTTATCACAGCCGTATCTTACGATAGAAAAAAACGAAATAATCTGAAAATTTCACAATAAGCCACTCTCATCAAGCTGTCTTCTTGATAGTTTCAAGTCGAAATTCGAGAATAAGTTTTTTAAAGATTTCTGACAGAGATCATGTACCATAAAAATACAAGATTTCAGCAGCCGCAGTTGGCTATGGATTCCAGCTCTTCTCAGAGAATTCATAGTTCATTAGGGTCAATATCATGCTCATAACCTCAACTCAACAGCGATTAATCATTTGGGAGACTTCAATTGTAAAACTACATCTTGAAATAGAATAATCAAAAGTTATTGACTATTCGTGTACTATCGCATATTGAGAAAATCGAGAAAGGAGCAAGAGATGTCGAGCATTCTACTCAACTGAAAAATTTTCTCTGTTATCAAAATCAAGAAAAACGTGGGTTTTCTTTTTTATTCTTACATTTCAAAAAAAGTGATAGAGAAATTGATTTACTTAATACTGAAAAAGGTCATATAAAAAATTAATCTCTATGAATCATCAATTAATAGAAGTAGATTTGCTTCCATAAAGTGATAGATTGTATAATTACATGAAAGAAGAAGCTTGTTTAAATACTGTCCTATCAATAAATAAATCAATTTCCCAAGGAAAAAATTTCATTCAACAAATGTTGATACACACAGATAGACCCTACACTTTTGGAAGCAACTAATCATAGCGGATAGGAAGGAGCAAGATACAATTTGTATCATTCAAAATTAAGAATCAACGACGACAAATTTTTACTTTTAGTTGGAAGATTCAATTTCTCCCTCGATCATAACATGCTCATTAATTGTATGATTACCCTTCTATCATACTAATTTGCCTGATATTTTATAAAATAGAGCTAAGCAAAAGTAAATCACCATTATTTTGGAAAATCTAATCATTGAATATTCAACAAAATAATGAATTCCTCTCCTACCGGTATCATCAGCACGTGAAACAGCTTCAATTGTTCGACGAATCGAACATCGTAATAACCTCCATAGATATTGCGGTCGGTTTTCTCCATATTTTGTTGGTGCAATTAATAATTTCGTTCGTTGTGTACTATAATTTGATTGAGCCCGAGAAACAACGGGTGTTATTTCATCAGTAGTTGCTTCTGAATTTTCTTCCATCTCATTATCTTTATTAATCGCCATGTTTCGTTCTACCTCTTTCGATTCTCAATAAAAAAAATTCAACTTTTACATTTATTTCTTTTTTTTTATTCCATAACCAATCACGACAATATTGCCCGCCATTTACATTCAACATTTTTAACTATTGCTAAGCAGCAAACAATAGCAAAAAAAAAGGAAAAAATTACATTTCACACACAAAAGAGAAAAAAATTATATCTGACATTTACAAAATAATAACTAGATTCTTCCATTTTTATCTGACTTATCATATTGTGGCCAACGATATTTTTTATCTGTTGTACTTGTGACTATATCTGGTTTATAATTCATATTCTAGATAATCAAAATAAACAATAAAAAACTTAATACATAATTAGATACAAACTTGTATAAAAGCTTCTTTCTGTCTACTTTTAGGTTTAAGTACTGAAGCGATCATTTTTTGTAATAATTGAGCACCTGAAAATATTATAAAATATTATTTCGAATTTAATATTAAAAAAAATGAAAGTCTAACCTTTTGCTTCATCGTATTCTTCTTCATCGTCATCTTCATGCCGTTCGATACGATTCTAGAAATAAATATAAATGTAATATTGGAAAAGATCTTATAAAAAAAATTACTGGAATTATTTCTTGTTCATTATCTTTAAGCTCTTTTCTTGATTCAACCATTTGATGAATACGTTTTAATCTTTGTTGTATATCAGCATTAACTGATATATTTTCATTACAACGACTATTAGCTATTGATCTTAAAGACATTGCACTAAGTGCACTATTTATTGATGATGTTTCATCAGCTTCTTCACATTGAAATACTTTTATTTCATCGGATAATGGTTCGATATTTTCATACATATTAAATGTACGAAATAGATCATTCATTTTCATAGCTTCATTTGGATCTATAGAAATAGAAAAAAGAATATTTTATTATTTAGAAAAAAAGAAAAAACCTTTAGTATTAATTTGTTTGTTCGCCATTGAAAACAAATGCTGCGATGTATGTATGTCTGAAATGCAATCGGACAAATATATGGATTAAAACAATGGATATATAAACGCATAGGACAACCGTTACATGCCCTTTGTATATTGGGTCTCTTTCATCTTTTTTTTTCTGTTCTACACTTTCGCAGCTTGACGACGGCGGCCGTGACGATTGAAGAAACAAAAAAAAATTGACTAGTGCTTGTGTTTTCGCTTTTCTTTTATATTTAGATAACAATTGATGCATAGGGAAAACAAGACAATGTATCGCATTTGTGAAGATGTGTGAGACACTCGAGAAAATATGACAACAATTTATAAAGAAACATATTTTTTTATTACTTTGTCATGAGAATAAAGTAAATCATATTATCTTTGTTAACAAAAACAAATTTAGTAATTGTTACAGGATACAAGTCAAATACAGCACAGCTCTCGTTTGATTCTGCTTGATAAGAGAAAGAGTTAAGGAAGCACGTCCCCTCAAATATACACGGAAACCCTTCATTCAAGCAATGTTTTTCAGAAAATTATGTTCTAAGCTAGCACTTTTAATATTCTTATTATTAACCATGCATACTTTTCTCTTTCGTTGCTATGTTTCGAGTGTAGATGTGATTGTTCCTCTTGTCTTCCTTCGCATCCTACACTGTCGTAGGAGAGAAACAAAATGGACCTATTTAACATTTTATTGCTTCATGTGAAATATTGATCGTGTACTATCCACGATGAGTCTACGAAAACTGTTGGATACGAAGATTAATCAAGTAAAGTGGAAGTTTACCATTTTTCTGAACATTGGCTTAGATTTTCTTGCACATTAACACCACATCCTCAAAAATACTTTTTCTCTCAATTCCATTTTTTCATCAGAGTTAATTTTGAAAAGAAATTCTAGTTCATAGGCTGCATGCATCAGGAAAACTCATGTTTCTTTGTAGTGATACATACTTTAGTATTGGTGCCGTCAGTCTTTTGTTTTGTATTTGTTTAGCTTATTCATCTGAGTGGAAGCTTTTATTCTTTTGTTATGAATTTCTCCACCATTTTTCGGTTTTCCACTCACCGTAACCTATGAAAGTGTTGTAAGTATGATATCCGCAAAAGTATACTATATCAGTATTTTATGGAAACGATTGAAAATTTTTATATTTTAATACAAGATATTCATCAGATACCTAATAAGCTACTTCTTCGAAACATGCGCAGTAAAATGACACTTGGAGTTGTTGTCAGACATTGTCTAATATATGTTTTTTCAATAATAAATATAGGAAAAGAAACATGAGAAGTAAATTATTGAATAAACGTACACTATTGATTACTACACAAAAAATAAAATTATTTGTCTATAGTATATAATTGGACGCTTTCATGATCCTAAATCATAATCGATTTGTAACAAGAATTGTCAGTTCCTTCTGTTACATTATATTTTACAGTTAATCCGAATATCTATATTTTAATACAGTAAAATTGCTCGGATACTTGCATGAATAATTTGAGTATCCATGTTTGCAAGTGGTACTCATTTGATAAGTATTTTCACTAGGATGTGTATAATTGTTCCATCGTTTTCATTTTCTAATTGTTCGTTGACATAAAAATTGAATTTTATTATTTTCGTAATCATACGAAGAAAATTTCTTTTTATGTTTAAACTTTTGCTGTTGCACATCGAGCTGATATTTTATCTTATAGAAATCATAATGTAGATGATGAACATTCATATCGACGTAAATGATGTATAGTTTCATCTCGTAAATTAATACCAACAAGAGCCGACTTTCACCAATGGTTCCATTTAATAAATCATTGTTATCTCTAGTTGACTCAAGAATTTAAGTTTTTGGGATTTAATAATTAATTTAACGCTACAAAATGACTTATTATGGTTGGAAATTTTCATACTACACGATATTGTCATGTAGTTCTACCCATAAATCATTTGATTCTTATATATCCTCTTAATGAATTATATTCATCAAACGAGTATAAATCAGATTCGTATTAATGTGACTAACGATTGGATTAATGTAAATACAATTAAAGTAACCCAAAAAACATCTTTAATTATGTTTATTCAGTATGAAAATTCTTCAGATGTTTGTATCTATTCAATTGCTAGAATTTAAAGAATAAAATCATATGATTTATTTCGTATTAATCCATATTCAAGTTCAATAACTCTTATCAATTCATTATTGCAGATTCTCAAAGTTAAACACATTTATGAAACATTATTTATCGTCTTGAAGACAATTATCATATAGTATATACTAATTCACATATAAATTTACTTGATGAACAAAGTTCATTGAATCGAACAAATAAATAAATTATTTGGTTTTACGCAAGAAAATTATTTGATTATATTTGAAACTTCATAAGTGAAATATCGTAGAAAATATTCAATAAATTTTGAATGAATTAGTAATATCGATGATGAGGAAAGAATGAAATCTTATGTAAAAATTATTCGGAGTACAATGGTAGACCCTTTTGTAGAATACTTACAAATGAATATGTCCAAGTGTCAATTCATTTTTGATTAGGATCTTTATAAATTTTATACACCTAAAACAACTATATCTAGCAAAGAAAAACAGTTGATGTTTGTGGCCTGTTTTTGAGAAAATATCAAACATTTTTAGTGAGTTTTCGTTACAGGATCCCATTTTGTAGTAAGATCAATGTTTTCGAAATTCAATTTGAAACTGTGTTCAGCTAAAGATCTCAACTAGGCAAGCTCGCATGAAAATTTCAGAATTATGAAACCAAATCTTTCTAGGATATGGAATGTTCAAAGTATAAGCCTTTTTGGATAGATAATTTATAGCAGATGTATTTTTTGAGTTTCATATCTCTTACAGAGTCGCTTAAAAAGTTCTGAAAATACTTATGCAAGCTAGTCTAATCGAGATCTTTTGCTAGGCAATGTCTCAGATAGAAATTCAGAAACTAGCACTTTTTTCTGACATCAATAAAATTTATCGTACATGCACAATCTATTTTAATAAAGTCATAAACAAAAACTTCATATCGTTGCAGTTGAATGACAACACCATAATGCATATTCAGAAAATTGTCATTAAAGTTATGATGGTGTTATTGTGATTTCACTACACGTTATTCAACAACTATATTTTTTACAAATGTGAAGAAATGCTAACGAGGAAACCCCACCAACTGATTAAAAACTTATGGGCTCATGTTCTGGCCATAAGTAGGACTTGATGGCACTAGAGAAACTCCAAAAGGATCCGCCCCCATAGACATATTTGGTTGAGATACAGACATTCAAAATTTAAGACCAGAAGCATACATAAACTGCTTCTTGTTCTTGAATTACTATACGGTATATAACATTTCAAAAGACAAATTTCTTTTTGAAAAACTCATAGCTAAGACGACAAGTTATTGTAAAAAGTCATGTTGTTGTGTTTGTCTGATGAGCTAAATACTATAGAAAAGAAGCATGAAGTATTAATACTTTAAAACAATAGAATTGTTTCAGGTATGTACTTCAACGATCCTCATATGCATTCCTCATTTATTTGTATCCGTTGTTTCGTTTACATGTCTCCTCATTCATAGTTTATCTTTCATTTTTATTTGACTGATGTGGTTTCTTTTTATTTGATTTAGAGTCGCAACTCACATCAGAACGAGTATAAACAAAAGAATAAAGAGAGCCTTCTATAGAAAATAAAGAAGTCTATAGGGGACAAATCCTTTTGAAACTCTTCTAGTCCCATCTAGTCCTACTTATGGCCAAAATATGAGTCCAAAAGCTTTTAATCAGTTGGTGGAGTTCCCTCGTAAGTTACTAAATTAGTTAATGATGCAAGATGAAGACAACGATTTGTATCAATACCTGTTATTACACTAAGAGTCTGAAATAGGTACTGAACGAACTGAATATGATTGTTATTGGATCATCATCATTCGCATAAACTTCTGCTTGAAGACGTTCATTTTAGCAGGCTAAAATATTTAATAAAACATCATTTCAATATATGAAA